CCGGGTCGGGGCAGAGACCAAGGAGTTATGAGGATCCACCCTTTGGGCTCAGGCTGAACCCTCTGGGGTTGCCAGGACCCCACAGGTAGACCCTGCATGCAGGCCACGTTCCCCTGCGGGCTCCCATAGGGCTTTCGAGGCCCATGGGCGGGCCCCGTGCTGGGTGCAGGCCCCTGCCACGGCCTGGGGGCCCGTTACCTGTCAGGTCTGGGAAGACGATGTTGTTATCCGACAGGCCCAGAGCTCTGACCAGGCAGACAAATTTGTCCAGCACCTGGGTCTGGATCATCCACATCCTGCCTGGGGCCCAATGAACACAGCATGGCCCTTAGCCACGGAGGGTGAGTGGGCAGTGCTGGGCAGTGCTGGGCACCCTGCCCTCCTTCCCCCTCCTGCTCCCACCAGCTCGACCATGGCCACTGGGCCGGGGACTCACATAGCAGGTTGACCCTGAGAATACTCTGGCCACCTGACTGTCTTCGGAAGAGCATCAGCGCGAACACGCTGTAGTCCGTGTCGTACACCTGGACCTCCTCGGGCTCTGGCCCGGACACAAGGGGGGTACCGCCGCAGCGTGAGGGCTGTTCCCCCCCGGCGCCCTCCGCAGGCTGCCCCCCGCCTCCCGCCGGTCACCCTCTCACCCTCTCTGCTGTCCACCCAGAATCTCCCAGGCCGTGCCGCCGGAACCAGCACATAAGACCAGGTGATGCAGCGGTGGCCCCTGTGGGAGAGAAGGTTCTGGAACCTGGCCAGACCTCGGGTTTCCTTCTCTGTCTCAGGGGCTGGCCCCGAAGTGCCCCCCCGCCCCCGAGAGAGAGAGAATTCAGCTGTTTGTTCGGAGGAGGCGTCTGTCAGAAGCCAGGGGCACGGCCCAGCACACGGGAGGCTTTGCTGCCCTCCCCCAGGGAGCGGTGTCCCTCCTGGAGGAACGAGGCAGGAGCTCTCCGCCATCTGTGCGCATCCCCTTGAAGCCCCTGGCCAGCCCACCCACTGGCTGCTCCTCGTCGCCTGGACTAGGACCTCCAAAGTGTGTGTATGTGCGATGCTGAGAAACAGGCGTTTCTGGCCACAGAGTCCCCTCTGGAGTCTTTAGTGGGCCCAGCTGGGCATGGTGGCCGGTGCCCCCAGCCAGCAGCCCTGGACTTCGCTGAGCCAGGCCAGATGGGGAGAAGTGGGGGCCGTGGGCGGCTGCTGCTGGGCCGGGCCTGGAAGCCCTCCCGGCTCAGGCCCCAGGGAGCCCTCCCGCAGTGCAGGGGCCTCTCCAGGTGGGTGCACTTGTTTTGAGAAGCAACCAAGTGCAGTCTGGCCTGCAGGTGGGGGAGAGGTGAGGCCGCCCAGAAGGCTTCTTGGTCCAGCTGCATTGGCACTGGGTTCTCTGTCCCCCACTCCCCCCATTAATCAACCTCCGGCCGGAGCCAGGCCAGTCAGATGCTCCCAGGAATCTGAGACACTCCAAAGGCGGGTTCTGGGGTGGCTGAACCCATGCAGGTGGCTTTGATGGTGCTCGCTGAGGCTGGGGCAGGGGCCAGTGGAGACCCTCAGGGGGAGGCTCTCAGCTTCTAGGATCTACTCCTGGTCGGCATGACAAACCCGCCTTGCTTAAGGTCCCTATTTTATATTACCTGGAGCCAAAGAGTCCTAACCAGAGGTTCCCAGGCCCTCTCTCCCCCACAGCCAGGCAGAGGGGCAAGGAAGGCTCCAGGCCTGCTGGAGACGTGGTAAGGGTAAAGAAGCCCTCATGGCATCGGTGTCCCCCAAAGGGGGGACGGCACCACCCTCACCTCATTCCAGGGGGTTAGCCATCAAGACTCCCGACTTCTTCCCATCCAGGCGGACCAACCAGAGCACCTGTCACCCTGGATGCAGCAACGGGTCCAACAGGATCACGTGACTCAAGGAAACCCGGTCAGAGGCCATTGCCAGGCTGACCAGGATGCTCTCTCTTTTCTGGAATTGGAACCCTGAGAAGGACATCAGCCTAGGCTAATGTTTTACCCCTGCGAAGTGAGAACTTTCTGGAACAGAGGTCTGGGGCAGACAGAGATGAGAGAGGGAGAGGGAAGGGGTGATGGGGCCCTGATCACACTGTTTGAGCTCCTGGATCCAGCTGTACCTGAAATCCATAAGCCCCCAAAGCTCTTCTGAGTCTGTGATCCAGTGTGTGCCCCTCTTTTGTGTGTGCTCCCAGAGCGGGCTTAGGTCACCAGCAGCCTGTGCTGAACTTTGAATTAGGAGGAGGGCCCTGGGAGAACCGGGGCACTGGGGCCCATGCTGGACCTGAGCCATGAAGCCATTAGCTTCTAGGATTACAGGCCAGGGATCCTCACTCACCGGGTCATGGCATATGACACTTCAAGGCGACTGTTTTCATTTTGCTCGAACGTTGCAATGAATGGGTTCAACAGGAACCTGTCCGTCTTCCTGTGGGTGCTGCCCGCTAAGCCGACAACAAACCATTCCCCCTGGAACTGTGGGAACCTGAGGTAGGCAGAGCCCAGGACAGCCCCAAGGGCCCTCACCAGGCAGTGGCTCCCAGCCTGAGCCTGCACCAATGACGCTGGCAGGAGCCGGGGGGCTGCCCTGGGCCTGGCAGGGCCAGGGTGACCTTGCCCAGTGGCTGGCCTTTGTGAGCTTCAGTTGACAGAGATGTTCCCACCGCACGGGGACTGGCAGGGGTTACTGCTGACCCAGGACGGCCTGTCCAGAGTCCTTTTCTGATGGACGTCAGGACTCTCTCTCTGGGGGGATCTGAGACCAGGCTGGCCAGGCTGGGCTCCCTGGGTGGTGCCTCCCCCCGGCCACCTTGGCCCTCCTTTCTCCCTGCACTTGGACCCTGGCTGACTTTCTCCCCCGCCCTCCAAGCCCCCAGACCTGGTCTTCTTGGAAGCTCTGTAACACGGAGGTAATGCCTGGCGGGGTGTTTGGGGTCTGGCCCTTCAGGCCTTTCAGCAGGGTGAGCACCACCCACAGGGCACAGCAAGGCCCCATCCCAGTAGGGACGGAGAGAAAGCAAGTGGCCATGTCACTGCTGACTCAGATACTCCCCACTTTATGGGCCCACCTGCAGGTGTCCCTCCCCAGGGGTGTGCCCCTTTCACCTTCCTCCTCAGAACTGGCAGAAGAGGTGGGCCCGGAGGAGGGCTTAGAGGTGGACTGGGCAGGGGCAGGGCCCTCTTGAGAGCCTGCCCACCAAAGATGGGGGCATCTGGGTCCCACTCCAGGAAGGGAGACGGGCAGAAAATGGAGGGGCTGGGGGTGCTTGCTGGGCCCACTAGCTCCCAAGGATGTCTCTGCACCTTGCTTCCTGAGTCCTGAGAGCCCCAGCTCCACCCCTCTTTGGAACCCCTTCCCAGTGCCCCATGCCAGTGGCGGTGACCAGGGGCCTGAGGTGTCTCCCCGGCCGAGCCCTACCCCGGTAGCTTTCCTGCCACCAGGTGGAGGGCAGAATGTTCCATCCCACACAGGGAGCTTAACCTTTTCTTAGTACCGAAGGTCAGGGGCACAGCGTTCTTGCAGAACACCGAGTGCAAAGCCCAGGCCCGCCACCCCCGCACTGTTCCACACGTCCCTAAACCCAAAGCGTGGAGCAAGAACAGGGCCAAGGGGCCCTATCGTCACGAAGGTGCAGGGGTCGCGGCCAGTCAGAGTGAGGCCAGACAAGGGGGTGGTGGGGCAGGCAGCCAGAGCACCCAGATCAGAATGACTGAGGGGTGATTGCAGGGGCCCCTTTGCAGAGGGAGGGCAGGGGGCAGGCAGCCCAGCCTAGTGGGGTGGGGCACCCACACACTGGGCCGGGGGACAGGAGGGCCCAGGCTCTGGGCATGTAGCCCGCCCCGCCACCCCCCGAGAAACGGCCTGGTAGTCAAATGCGTAGGTGCTGGGCTCTAGGAGACATCCTGGAAGGATATGTACCTGACCTATGAGCCCCCTGTCCCGGCCACCTCCTTCCCCACCTGGGTCCCCATGTCCCAGGCCACCTCCTGCCCCACCTGGGTCCCCATGTCCCAGGCCACCTCCTTCCCCACCTGGGTCCCCCTGTCCCAGGCACCTCCTGCCCCACCTGGGTCCCCCTGTGTCCTGAGCCACCTCTTCCTCACATCCAGGTCCGCCTGCCCTGGGCCACCTCCTGCCCCTCCCCAGGTCCCCATGTCCTGGGTCATTCCCCCCCCCACTGCATGGGGTCCCCCTTCCCTCCCCCCAGGTCTCCATATCCTGGGCCATCTCCTTCCCTTCCCCACCCTGGCCTCCAGCAACCTGTCCTGAGGAGGGGCCCTAACCGGGACACTCAGAAAGCACCCGTCCCCCGACAAGGAGCTTCAGGGCTTGGCTCCGTCCCAGCCCTCACTCTGCGTGGAAGGGCATGGGCCCTGGTCCTTCCGCCTCCGGGAGCGTTTCCCATTGCCAGGTGGACCATCGAGGCCTCTCTGGGGGGCTGCAGGCCCCAGGACAGGGGAGGGTCCGGGGTCGGGAGGGCCACCACCATCTCCCCGAGAACCGAGCCCGCAGGGCAGCGCCCCGATCTCTTGAGCTCGCGGTGCCCGCCGCTCGATAGGCCCTACTACTTCAGGACACTCTGGCCCCCACAAGAAGAGAGGTTGCAGAGAGCCGTTTGTTGCCCCGAACTTCCCAGAGGAGCCATCACTCTCCACCAGAAGCTGCGGTGGCAGTTCCGACCGCAGACGCTGCGAACGCCTGGCCTCCCCCTCCCACCCCGCAGGCACCAAGCTGCCCCTGGTGATCCCAACCCAGTCCCAAGCCCACTCAAAAACTGAAAGCGGCCCCCTGTGCGCCTGCGCTCTGGGGAGACGGGGGCGGGGCAGAGCAGGGACACCACCCCCTCCCGACCTAGGCGGGGACGCAGCTCCGGGCGCCTCTGGCGGCGCTTAGTGACTCTGGCGCCCCCTACAGCCCGCCAGGCGGCTCGCAGGCTGGGCGGTGGATTTAGGAGCCGCGCTCCTCACGCCCGGGGCCGCGGCAGGCGTGGCTCCTCCCACCGTCAACGCGATTGGTCGAGGGCGGGCACGTGACGCTGGCCGCGCGCTTGGGCCAGGTGTGCGAAGACCACCGGAGTCCAGGCCTCGGGCCGGCAGCGGCGCCCGCGTCACCCCAGAAGGGCGGCAGGGTCCGCGGGTACCGCCGGTCAGGGTGGCTGCGGGGAGGGCCAGGGCGCAGGCTGGACCCTCCCGGGAGCCGGGCCTGGCCCTCCCCGCAGCCCTTTCCCCACCGGCTGCCCGGTGTCCCCCCCGGCCTCTGCAGGACCCTCTGCCCGCTCGCTCCCCGGGCCAGGGCCGTCCCCGGCCCTCCCTCTCTTCCACCCAGACAGCAACAGCAGGAGCCCCCCACCCGCCCTCCGCGCAGCTACTCCCCAGGTCTTTCCTCTCGCCCCAAAGCTCGGACGCCGTGCTCTGGGCTGGCTCTTCCCGACGGTGGGCAGGGACCAGCTGGCACCAGGGAGGCGAGGGGAGGAGGAAGGCAGGCTGGATTCAGGGATCCCCGCGGGGCCGTCCCAGCCGCTGAAGCCCTCAGCTCGTGGGGGGGGGCGCGGGGGCGCGAGGAGGGGGGAGCAGTGCTGTCAGGAGCAGGACGTGCGGAGCGACCCGGTGTGAAGGCCCTGCCACGTGCCGGAGGGAGCTGGTGGGCCCCCTCCACGGCGGGCTATGTCCAGCCCTGTCCCCCAGGCAGGAGTCCTGGCCCACCTGTCCACTGAGGGGCTGTGTGGGCAGGGAGGGCGGGCACCCCGCAAGAAGGGCCAACGACGTACCTGCCTGTGGGACCACCGGCGCTGGGGGCCTGGGACACAGCACCCTCGCATCCTGGCAAGGCCCGTGGGCTCCCAGGACAGTGCTCCTCTGGCCTTCCCTGGGGGCCCCCAACCGCCACTGCCAATTAGAGGTAAGTTTGTATACATTTTTAAAAGGTATTTTTCTTGGGGCGCCTGGGTGGCTCAGTTGGCTAGGTTTCGGCTGAGATCATGATCTCAGGGTTGTGGGATTGACCCTGCCTTGGGATCCGTGCTGGGTGTGGAGCCTGCTTAAGATTCTCTCTCTGACCCTCTGCCCCCCAACCCTCGCTCTCTCGAGCTCCCTCTCTCAAATAAAATAATATTTTTTCCTTCTAAAGTATTAAAAATCACTTACTACAGTTAAAAGGCAAAATACAAATTATAATTAACATCTTTACCTAAAAACAGTTCACTTAGAACTACAGTTATTTCACCTAGTTTGTGACAATGAGAGTTCAATAAATATTTTTGTGGAAATAAAATGCATGACAGCTGCCCCCCCCCCCAGACCTGCTGTTGGGGACCCAGAGGGACAGGCCTGGGCTGCTGTGGGGTCTCAGCCCTGTGGTCACGTGGGAGGGTCTCTGGTGCTGCCCTTTGGACCTGCAGTCCTTTTGAAGCATCCTTCCCCGGAATCCCTGAGAGGGGGATATGTTTGAACTCTCCCACACCCCAGAGCAGAGGCCCTCATTTTCTATTTGGGGGCTGTGGAGCCAGGCATGCAGGGGGCTCTCTGAGCTACGGCCCCACTTGATACAAGTGTGCGGAGACTCCAGCAGGTGACTAGTGGGTCTCTGGGTCGTAGGGCCCATGGGGAGGCTACAGTTTCCTTTGCCCTTCTCCTTCAAAGCCCTGGGGGCCAAGGCCCCCTGCCTTCCCCTCTTCTCCTCAGCCCTGTATGTCTGCCTTTCTGGGAGGCCAGTTCCAAGGGACATAGGGTGGGCACTGCCCAGTCTGTGGGGTCGGGCATGGTCCCCACCCACTGGAGACATTGGAGCCCATACAAGGCTGCTGGCTCTTCCTAGCAACCACCCACCCCAGTCCTCCTGGTCTGGGCTGAGCCAGTCGGCCAAGTGGACATGCAGCAGTGGGACCAGATAGTGGTCCCTACAGCTCACCTGGGATGGCCTGGTGCTCACCCCTACTCCCTGGCAGCCCAGGGAGGAAATGGGGGCTGGTGGGGGTCCAGCTCCCAGGTGCCCCCTCAGCCTCACCAGCAGTCAGTGGTGAGCTCTGGACCTCGAAATTCCAGGAACAGGGAGCCACCCCACCGGGGTGCCCAGGATTGAGAAACGCTCATCAGATGGATGCCCAGGGCCCCAAGACAGCGTGGCTTGGGGCCAGTTCCAGGCCCAGCTTTGGCCAAGCTAATGCACATTTCCCTGAATGGACCTTCCAGCTCCAGTCTGGACCCAGCCTAGGGCTGCCATTTGCCCTCAGATCCTCCCCAAGTTCTCCTGAAGGGAGGCCACCCCCCAACCCCCGTCCTGGTTCCCAAGGGGACAGTGGGAGGGCTGAAGGTGAGGCGTGCACATTTCTCCAGGATGGGCAAGTGTGTGCCAGGCATGTTTGTCCAGAAGCACCCCAGGGTGCTGACTCACAGCCATGTGGGCCTGGATCTTGCCCAGCAAGGCTTGGGGAGGCCGAGGAGGGGAGTAAAGGGAGAAAGCTGGCCCCCCACACCGCCCCGGAGCAGGGCACCTCCAGGCCCCTCAGGGCACCGGGTGGGCATGTATGGGGGCACAGTATGTGCCCCAAGTCATCAGAGCTGTTGAAATTGGCCAGTGCCCTCCAGCAAATGGAGGAGATGGCTTAACAAATGGGGAGTGGGGGGTGTTGGCAGAATCTGAAGAATGTTCTCACCAGCAGGGTCCGAGCGGAGTCCAGGCCCTGCCCACTGGGCTCCTGGTGCAGGGTGAGGGCCATGGCTCCCTCCCCTAGCCCCAGGGCAGCTGTCCACCCTGTGGGACCCCCCTGGGCAGACCCTGACCTTGGAGAGGAATGCTGCATGTTGGGTGACTCAAAATTGTTTCAAGTGCCCTTTGCCCTCTTGGAGTAGCTCTGTTTCCTCTAGGGTCAGTCTCCCAGTCCTGATTCTTCTCTTGCAGTGATTTCCCCAGTGTCTGGGACCCCCGGTGAGGGTCAGGCAGGTCGGCCAGGCCCCAGGCTGTGGGAAGCATGTGCAGTCTACCCTGGGGGGCAGTGG